TGATGGATGTTGGCAACAAAGAGGGAGGAGTCAGATGTGGCTGACTTTCCAGGCTTTGTATATGATGTTAGGGTGGAACCACGGCCCAAAAACCATGAGTACAGGAAAAGGAACAAGTCTGTTAGGGTAGATAATGAATTCAGTTTTGCCCATGTCTCAGCTGAAATGCCTGCCAGAAAACCTGGCAGAAGTGCCCAGCAGGCAGTTCCTTAGCAGTCTGTGGAATGCGAGAGCCAAGCCACGGTTTAAAACGCGGCTGTGGAAATCATCACTCAAACGTTGGTTAGTTTAACATTTTCTTTTCTGTGTATAGTTTGGGCCAAGAATTGTGCAAAAATGCTTTATTGCATTTTTCATTTAGTCTTCTTAAAGAATTTATTAAGTAAAAAGTATTACTGTTCTCCCTGTACGTAGGAAGGGGCACAGCTACAGAAATTAAGTTACTAAGGTCTCTTACTGTTTGATAGTGGTAGAACTTGAATAAAAATTTAATCTTTGGACTGATTTGATATATTGTAACAGAGTGAATGAGATCAAGTAAAGAGAGACAGGATCCCAAAGGATGGAAAACAGCAAAATACTAGTCAGGCAGAAAAGAGTTTCAGAAATGGGCAGAGAATAGGCAGAGGACCATGTGGACAGTTTAACCAGATTGGGTGAATTTTGATGGTCGGTGTTGATGTCTTTTCAATTCTTTTACATGGATGTGAGATTCTTGTTTTGACCTTTACCCTAAAACTGTCCGTTGTGTGATGGTAGTTTTGTTTGTTTGGTTGGTTGTTGGCTTCTTTTTTTAAATTTGGTTTTCATTGGGGGCGTGGGGATGCAAGGGCAGAAAGCAGATGCAAGGAGATGGGGAGCTAAGTAGAGTCGGAACGCATGATGGAAAATCCACAAAGAATCAACAAAAGTTAAAAATAAACTGTCCATTTTTTACATATAAATATCTTCTATGCTTTCTTTCTGGCATGATTTCATCCTTCTGGCTGCATTGCAAGGCATCTCCTATCATCAGATTCAGGGCTCACTCAACATCGGATACCCTCAGGATCACAGTATTTCTGCCGTCTCTGAGAGCAATGGAAGAGGACACTTTGGCATATGCTTGCTATAGATACAAGTTTGGATCCCTGCTCAAACAAAAAAAGACTATGTGCATTTGTTGAGCAAGTATGGACTATATACTTTCAGGTTAGAAGGAACAGAGCTCCCAAGTCCCCCAGATCCTCCTAATACAAGCCTAACCTGTGCAGCTACGAACATAATTCTTTCAATGAATCTACGACCTAAAATGATTTAGGACTGAATCAGATTTTCTTGATGTAAACTAATGAACAGTTCAAAATGTCAACTGTAGTTAATTTTTTTTAATTACTTTATTTATTAAAGATTTCTGTCTCTTCCCCACCTCCGCCTCCCATTTCCCTACCCATCCCCCAACCAAGTCCCCCTCCCTCGTCAGTCCAAAGAGCAATCAGGGTTCCCTGCCCTGTGGGAAGTCCAAGGACCACCCACCTCCATCCAGATCTAGTAAGGTGAGCATCCAAACTGCCTAGGCTCCCACAAAGCCAATAAGTGCAGTAGGATCAAAAACCCATTGCCATTGTTCTTGAGTTCTCAGTAGTCCTTATTGTCCGCTATGTTCAGCGAGACCGGTTTATCCGGGGCTTTTTCAGACCCAGGCCAGCTGGCCTTGGTGAGTTCCCTATAGAACATCCCCATTGTCTCAGTGTGTGGGTGTACCCCTCGCGGTCCTGAGTTCCTTGCTAGTGCTCTCTCTCCTTCTGCTCCTGATTTGGACCTTGCGATTTCTGTCCGGTGCTCCAATGTGGGTCTCTGTCTCTCCTTTCATTGCCTGATGAAGGTTAATATTCAGGAGTTAATTTTTGATGATAAGTACTAAACCTTTTTTTTTTAACCAGCTTTTGGAAGAATAAACCATTCCAACATCAGAATTTTTACCGACAGAAATGTGTTCATTTCAAGCACTTTCCACAGTAAACCCACCTGGGCCTCTCTCCAAATAACTGAATGTTAATGTCCACTTTCAGACGACTGCTGCATTCCAGAATCAATTCTGGATATAACTAACGCCCGTTACGAGTGAGCACAGGTCTAAGAGGAACAGGTTTCAGACAAGCCTGGTGGATGAAAGGGGTGCTCTTTGAAGACCACAGAGCCACGAACTGCAGTCGTCTCTTGGCAGCTTCATTTGTTGAAATCGTGCTTTAGGAGATTTTTCGGATGCCACTTGCTCAATGCAGATCTCACTTGAGATATGAAACGCCCTGCTTTTGCCTCGGGAATGGATGTATTTGAAGAACGCCTTGGCTCATTTCTTTTACTTGGTGTAATTATTAGTAATGTCCCTTTCTGTTCCCAAGAGGCCCGGTTTGAATAACAAATTATGTGGTCATCTCTTCGAGGGTCCTTCTCAGGCCATCTTCGTTATGATATTTTCCTTATATTAATCTAAGAAGCTTAGATTACCTTTCCTCCTCCAAAGCCTTTGGGACCGACTCTGTCTTGAAGTCCTTTAAGTATTTCTTTGATGCAATAATTAAGAGCTCACATAAGCTAACGAGTAACTCCCTGTGGCTCTTTTAATGGCAAACGCAAACAAAGTAACTTCTGAGAGCTTCATCTAATTTGGCAACCCCAGAGAGAAGCAAAAGGGATTGGCCTTTCAAGTTTATATTTGCAAAGCAATTTCCAATCATTTAAATTAGGTTTTCCATCTACTAAGTGAAAGCTTTTGTATGCCCACTGGACAGCATGTGAACGGAGGCAGAGAGAGCCGCCGCTGTGCTTTCTGGGATATCACGAAGGCCTCAAACTGGGAGAATTTTGTAGTCTCACCCCGTCACGACTTGAGTCATCTGCCTTCCTGCTGCTGGGGAAAGGGTGTGCAGTAGTTTGGCAATAGGAGCATGCTTAGAGCCTGAGAACAGTGCCAGGGATGTGCGGATAGACACTGGGAAAAACCGGTTTCCCTGACGCAAATACGATGTTGAGACGGTGCCCTTACAAGTTCTGGGACCTAGTTAGGTTCCACTGGACTGCTTGTCTGTTCTTCCTGTGCCACTGAAGTCTACATGGTTTAAAAAGAAACTAAGAGTAATTTCTTCCCATTGTGAGGCATTATCATAAGACTACAATGAATACCTCTGGAAACAAATTACCATATAAGTCTTGCCTCGTCAGAGTGACTCCGGTTTGAGTACTGTCCCTGAGAGAGTCATCAGCACCTACTATATGCATGCATGAATACATACAGGAATATATATATGTAAGTGTATATATATACATACATATATATGTATATATAGGAGCTCTCTGCTTATGAGAGGCTGATGGTAAAGGCGTTATGTAATTTCAGAGAAGCAGAGCAGAAAGAATTTGGCAGCATGAATAATAAAAATCCAGAATCAGATATCGGGATTCAACCTGAAAACCAGAAAAGCAAAGCAGCCAAGCCACTGGAGAAATCTTATCTCTACTAAGGCTGGGTGACCATAAGCTAAGCAGACAGCCTCTCTCTCCTCTCATTTTCTATTCCCTCTAGTGCTGGGATTAAGGACTGGAGTTAAAGATGTGAGCCATCACCACCTGGAATTTTTTCTCCATTGATCTTGTGTAGCCCAGGGTGGTCTTGAACTCACAGAGCTCCATCTGACTCTGTCTCCCAAATCCTGGGATTAAAGCTGTGTGTCACCATTACCTGACCTCTAGAGGCTTTAGCTTTGCCTCTGGTCTTCAGGCAAGATTTATTTAACAAAATACAAATAATATACCACTACAGACTTTGACCATACCAAACTTTTCACCTGCTATTTTTTACAATTAAATTTAATTTCTTATACTCTTTAGCTGCAGGGCACCCTGGGAAAGCGGCTCTCAATCTTGCGCTCCTTCTTCACAGTTACCCACAATACCTCACTTCATAAAGGAATGTAAAGACGAAATAATATCACGCAGACCGAGCTCTCTTCCCTTCGGAGCACATCGGGTACACAATTACCCATTTTGAGGAGGAATGGTGGTCCCCAGTTCTCGCATGCTCCTTTCCTCACCTCTGTAAGCACCTCGGGAATCCTCACCTGCCCAGATCTTTTCTAGCATCCCCAGGAAACCAGCCAAGCCCATCCCGGGGTTCACGTTCTTTTATCTATTTTACTGGTCTGTTTTATCCTGCTGTGATGATTCTTTTTATTCTCACAAACACACAGATGTCTGCATAGAGCATGCCATTAGAATAAGAAAGAAGGACCGGGGTTTGAAATAGACGTTTTCTTTACACTAGTGTGATATAGTCGATTCTTGGGATTCCTCATTTGTAAATGAGAAGAATAATTAGACTTATTTTTAGGTCTGCCAGGGCGAACGAGTATCATATATGGGAGGATTTATAAGCATTTGCTGTTACTAATACTGATAAGACCTCGTGTGTCTAGTAGCTCAGTATAGTTGGGAGGCCTTAAGGATGGGAGTGGAGGCTGAAAGTTTAGCAAGCCCTCAGCATTCATGGGGGGGGGGGAGCGTTAAGGTCATTAACGGTTTAATAGGTGAAAAGGTGCCAAGAGCATTACGATTTTACAGTCGACCAGGCTAAGGGGCTCAAAGAACCAGTTTGATTGATGTCATTCAACTCCAGAGGCAGGGCTCAACCCAAAAGGAAGAATTGAGCCTCTCGCTTTGGTATTTCTCAAGGCCTTCTTAAACTCACACCACAGTGTGGGTGGCAGCAGGGCTCTGTAACTTCGGAAGCCCTGGGTACTTTTTGACACGCAGTTCTTTCGCTGGCAGAATATGGAAAACAAAACCCACCGCTCACAAGTTTGTGCCCTGGACGAAAAACCTCTGCGAAAGGTGTGGAGCACTAGGCAAATAAGAGCTGAAACTGGCAATGGCACTCAAGTCCTTTAGCTTCTAGTCCCAGGAGTCGCTCCTGTCTCCTCCCACTTTGGAGACGGCAGTGTAGGAAGGAGGATTAACCCCGGGGGAGGAGTTCCGCCCCAGCTCCCCAGCCTGCACCAGCACGCCCGCCCGGCCTTAGCGCCCACACATCGCTTGGATCTCCGTCCTGCACCCTAGCCTCGGCTGCGCTTCCCAGGGCAGGTTCCAGGCTCTGCAAGACCGGCGGGCCTCCAGGATGCAGGCCCCGCACAAGGAGCACCTGTACAAGCTGCTGGTGATCGGCGACCTGGGTGTGGGCAAGACCAGCATCATCAAGCGCTACGTGCACCAGAACTTCTCCTCGCACTATCGGGCCACCATTGGTGTGGATTTCGCGTTGAAGGTGCTCCACTGGGACCCGGAGACTGTGGTGCGCTTGCAACTCTGGGACATTGCAGGTGAGCGCTCTGAGCAGCGCGAGCAAAGCGGAGGGATTGGGGAAGCAGAGAGTGAATTTTTAGCTCCTTTCCAGTCCCGGGACCCTGGAGTGCGACCAAGCAGGAGATCGAATCACCAGTGTGGTCCACTCTAGGAAACTTGGGCTAGTGGCTTGGAAACCTATTTTCAAAGAAAAGAAAGTGTTTGCATGTTTTTGTCCGCTTTTTTCTGTTGGATTCTTCCCGAACTCTAGTGGCAACTTCAAGTAACTTTGCTCTCACTGGGTGTTCTGTGGCCATGGCTCAAGCTGGTTCTTCCACTTTCCCCTGGGATTCCTGGGTTCAGAGCAGTCTGCGGCCCGACCCAGGAGACTATAGTGGCGTTCTGTTTCCATTCTAGTCCCTTTCTGGATACAAGTAGCCCCGACTGGGCCCAGAGAAGGCCCACGTGGCCTTCATTCTGGCCTGCAGAGGGGAAGCCCCTAGGAGACTTAAGAGGGAACAGGACTGTGAGGGTTAACTCTTGTTTGCGCAATCTCGAGTCTTAGGAATTTAGTTTATTCCAAATTTCACTACTATGGTCACCTCTTCAGTCAAGAAAGTTTGAGATTGTTGATTTCGTATATATCTAGAACAAGCTATTTCTTTCCGTATCTTTCCCGTCTTCGTCTTCTCCATCCCTATCTCTCGCTCTTTCCATCTTTCCATAATCTCTCTTAGAAAGGAGACTGCGCATGTGTTTTTAAGACAACTTTTTTTTTTTTTTTTTTTTTTTTTTTTTCTGAGACAGGGACTCACCACGTACCTCTGGCTGTCCTGGAAATCGCTATGTAGACCAAACTGACCTCGAACTCATAGAGATCCACCGGCCACTGCCTCCCCAGTGGTGGAGAAGGGGGTGAAGCGGGGTGGGGGTTGTGACAATGTTCATGGCATTTGCTTTAAGATTTCTTAATTTGATCCTGGTGTATTCTTTGAGAAATCGAAACTATGATAAACGTATTTATGGTGTTTGAGATCAGAATTTGGCCACCAGGTATACCAGCTCTTAGGCACGGTGAAAACTGAGGTTGCAGTGGCACGCCTTTAATCCCAGCACTCGGGAGGCAGAGGCAGGAGGATCTCTGTGAGTTCGAGGCCAGCCTGGTCTACAAGAGCTAGTTCCAGGCCAAGATCAAAAACTACAGAGAAACCTTGTCTAGAACCCTCCTCCCCAAAAGTGAGTCCGACTTGTCTGCTTGTAACCTGGGCGTGCCTGGCCTCTTATTCTAGAAGCTTAGTCACTTACCTGATCAGTAGCATCCGTATTAACCTGCCAGGGCTTAGGCAGTGATGCCTCAGAACCTTCCTGCTTAAGCAGTTTAGAACTCTGCTGTCCACTTCAGACAGCCCTTTTTAGTCTCTGTTCGTGGTGTGAGGCACTAAGAGCCGCTTGCTAAGAGCTGGATCTAAAATAAGCAATTCTTTTTCAGAAAATACGTTCCTTTCAGCTAATACATCTGACTGCAAGCATTTTGTCATGACTTGAAATGAGAACCAGAGGAGAAAAATTCCTGAAAGGATGTTTCTGGTCTTGAGACCCTTAGTCTTCTGTAACCATGAGCTTTGCCAGGTCTTATGATGAGGCTAGTGCAGACAGGTTCATGGTTGGGATCTTCAGTAGGTTTAGGGAAACCTGAGTTATTGGAGACTTGAAGGTGGCATCACCTAGAGTCTTTGGAAGCTCTGATCCCTGGTCTGTGTGCTCTGTTGCCGCCTGTTTTAGTGTCTGAATTGTCTTCTGATGGCACCGTGGTTCCCAGGATCACAGTTTAGAATAGCTCACTGTTTAAAAGATGTAGCTGTCACTAGTACCAGTTTCAAGTCCAAGTAGCATCATCACGTCTTCAGTCTTGTTAAACATCTGTGAGTTTTAGTTTCCTCCTCTAAATGGGAGGAAGAGAAAGGTATAAAGATTCTCAGCTTAAATTCTAGAATGGGATATCTCCAGAGGAGAATACCTCTTTCTGAATCTCACTTTTTGTCGTACATATTGTGTGGTTATTGGCAAATCCACCAACATCATTGTATCATTTTTCTTATCTATTAAGGGGGAATATGTTTTATTCCACCAAATAAGAGAAGAATAACCAAAAGTTCAAAGTAAAGACAAAAATGCTTACTATCCAGGAGCTATTCAGTTACTACTATTTGAACAATTATACATATTAAATAAGAGGAACATGGCATACATGTAGCAATTAAATCCTAATAAGATTCAGTTCCTATGTTGCACATATATCCCATCCTCAAGCGCCAGTATTAGTTTTGAGTCTCACCCATTTTGCAGCATAAAGCAACTTAAGTTCCAAGCTTGCTGTCAGGAACAATTTGAGCAATTTAACTCCCAGACTTGAGAATGCTTTTCCAAGGCATAGTTTCAGACCAAGGTTGTGAAGGCTATAATCATAGAAGTCTGTGCAAGTAGGAAATCAGAAGGATCTGAGATCCATTTGGCAGACAGAATGGCATTCAGCCTTGCGGTAATGCCCAGTTCACTCTTTCTTTGATAGCCTCAAACTCAAAGGCCCTGGAACTGCTGAGTTAGAGGTTGAAAGCTTTTTTAGGTAAAAGCTAGGTAATGGGGGGATAGGATGGTTGGAACATAAATGTTTCACAGTATGTTGGGGACCTGTGGGTTTTAAGGTGATGGGAAATCTGCCCTTCACTCTCCACTCAGACTCGAGTTAGGTTAGTATGCCTTCTAGAACACTCAGGTCACGGAATGTCATTCTATTCTTCTTAGCTATGCTGTGTGTCTAGAAAGAATGGCTAGTAGTGAAACAAGTTTTGAGAATGTTCAAGTTCTTTTCTTTTAACTTAAAAGCTAAAACATTATTTTATTTGTATGAGTGTTTTGTCGGCATGTATGTCTGTGCACTACATATGTGCTGTGCTTATAGAAGACAGAAGAGAGCATTGGATCCTCTATAATTAGAGTTACAGACAGTTATGAGCTATGAAGTGGATGTTGGGAATTGAATTCAGGTAGGCCTTCTGCAAGAGCAGACAGGTCTCCTAATTGTGGAGCCATGTCTTAGGTCCTTTCCCTTGTTTTGTTGTGTTGTTCAGACAATGTAGCTCAGGTCACACTTGTACTCACTGCGAGCCCAAAGACGATTTAAACTTCTGCTCTTCTTATACTACCCAAGTGCTGAGATTACATGCAATGCCATCGTATCCAGTTTTCGTAATATTGGGAATAAAATTAAGGGCCTTGTGCATGGTAGGTAAGTACTTTGCCCACTGAGCTTCATCTTCAACCTTGACACCCTTGATGAAATGGAAAAGACTTACTCTTTCCCTATAAAATATTAGGCTATTACAATCTTATTTATTTATTTTTGCCTAGGTAGAATCTTTCATGTTTTATTTGCGTTTATTTAACACTCGTTCCTCCCCAGCTCCTCCAGTTTGTTCCCTACCTTTCCCTCTCTTTAGGTGATAGATAATCCTTTTTTTTCCTCCCTATAATTTTTCTGGATATTATTATATACCAGTATGGAGAAATGGAAACAAATGAATGAAATTTTTCTTTTTGAAAATTCCATCATTGGCTGAGACATGAATTTATATTCCTATATATCAACAAAGAAAAAAGTTTACACTTGAGGCTTCTGTCTTTACTACTCTCCAAACCTGATACCAGCAATTGCCACATTAGTGTGTTCAGAGAAGTGGATAATTCTCTCCTAAGAACTGATGTACTATGGGACACATCTTCAGGAACTGAGACAATTGCAGATCTGGCAGCTACCATCCCTTAAACACCTGTTCTTATGGTTGTCCAAGGACCTGTAATTTCCTAGTAGAATAGCTGGCTATATGGTCGTGTCAGAATTTAACACATGGCTGTTGAACACGTCCCTCCCCAACCTGTCAAACATGCCCCTCCCCACCTTCTCTAGCAGCTTTTCTCTACTTCCTCTGATTTAATAGTAAGCGTTTCAGATACATTCTATAAGAAGTAGGACTTATATATAGTGAAAATGTAATACCGATATTAGTCAAGTTATGAAATCTTATAGGACCTCAGGTGTTCCAGCTATAGAATAGCAACTATTTTATTTGTCTGTGATACCACATTTGGAAGATGCTCTCCTTTAGACTCTACCAACTTTAATATCATAACCTGACTTTGCCTTCAGTAATACATGAGAGTTTTCTTAACTAAGTTAATTGTGAGTGTTTTGACATACAAGGTTTATATCCTCTGCCTTGTCTGTAAAGTGAGGGTAACAGAACTTGTATCTGTTAGAGTTGTTATAAAAGAAATAACTGAGTTAATTCATGAGCGTTCCTGACACACAAACAAACACATTACCATTTTTATTCTTATTAAGATAGTTGCTACTATTATAGACTGTTTTCACATACATTTCCTGATTGATTTTGATATTTGTAGAGAAAATAGTATCAAGCTCATTTTATCCTAATGAAGATCAAAAATCAAGGAAACCAGGGACTTGTTCACAGAAGGGCAGAAATAGTATATTTGTCTAACTGAAGTGTGTGTGTGTTTGTGTGTGTGTGTGTGTGTGCAACGTGACTGAGTCTGCTAGACATCAGAAAACCCACGTCCAAGTTCAACAAATACAGTGTAAAACATCGTATTTGCAGACAGAGTGCTTCAGCATGGAGAATTTCATTGCTGCACTCTTCCACATGACAGCTGCCTAGTCTAAGAAGACCCACTTATGAGAACAGCATTTCCATTCCAACTACACTGTCTTTTCTCACTCAGGTCACCATGGTAGGCTTCTTTATAGATTTTAAACTCTTATGTTGTGAACTCAACTGAATGAAGGGTTTAAATCAGGCTATTTCCTTTGTTTCATATCTTAAAAAAACCTTATCTAATGAATTTTATAAGTTTTAAGTGTCTTGGCAAGAGAAATAGATGTATAGAAAAAGCTGTCTTTTGAAAACAAGTATTGTCAAGTAAAACAAAACTGAGTTCAAGGATGGACCCATTTCTGCAG